TTAGCCAATTTGCCGATGACACAGCATTGTTTTAAAAAAAAAATGATTTAATGGTTGAAAGAGCCCTTAATACAATTTCATTATTCTCTAAGGCTTCAGGTCTAGGACTTAACATTAACAAATGTGAGATCCTTCCCATTCATAATTGTATTCATAAAAACATCCAGTCAATCAGAGTTGTAAATGAAGTTAAAGATTTGGGTGTATTAGTATCTAAGAATCCCCTCCCTGGGCTGCCACCTTACCGTGGTGGAGGGGTTTGAGTGTCCCAATGATCCTGGCAGCTATGCTGTCAGGGGCTTTACGCCCCTAGTAGGGTCACCCATGGCAGACAGGTCCTAGGTGAGGGACCAGACAAAGTGCAGCCCAAAGACCCCGATGATGAGAAAAATAAACAAACCTAATGTTCCCTTGCCCGGACGTGGATCACCGGGGCCCCACTCTGGAGCCAGGCCTGGAGGTGGGGCACGCGGGCAAGCACCTGGTGGCCGGGCTTTTACCCATGGACCTCGGCCGGGCACAGCCCGAAGAGGAGACGCGGGTCCCCCTTCTCATTGGCTCACCACCTGTGGGAGGGGCCAAAGGGATCGGGTGCAATGTGGGATGGGTGGTGGCCGAGGGTGGGGACCCTGGCGGTCAGATCCTAAACTACAGAAGCTGGCTATTGGGACGTGGAATGTCACCTCACTGGTGGGGAAGGAGCCTGAGCTGGTGTGTGAGGCTGAGAGGTTCCAGCTAGAAATAGTCGGACTCACCTCTACGCAAGGCTCTGGCACCAGTTTCCTTGAGAGGGGCTGGATACTCTTCCACTCTGGAGTTGCCCCTGGTGAGAGGCGCCGAGCAGGAGTGGGCATACTTATTGCCCCCCAACTTGGTGACTGTGTGTTGGGGTTCACCCTGGTGAATGAGAGGGTGGCCTCCCTCCGCCTACGTGTGGGAGGACGGGTTCTGACTGTCGTTAGTGCTTATGCACCAAACGGCAGTTCAGATTATCCACCCTTTCTCGAGTCCTTGGAGGGGGTACTGGAAAGTGCACCTCCTGGGGACTCTCTTGTTCTGCTGGGGAACTTCAATGCTCATGTGGGCAATGACAGTGAGACCTGGAGGGGTGTGGTTGGGAGGAACGGCCCCCCTGATCTGAACCAGAGTGGTGTTCTGTTGTTGGACTTCTGTGCTCGTCATGGATTGTCAATAACGAACACCATGTTCAGGCATAAGGGTGTCCATATGTGCTCTTGGCACTAGGACACCCTAGGCCGCAGTTCGATGATCGACTTTGTCATCGTCTCATCTGATCTGCGGCCACATGTCTTGGACACTCAGATGAAGAGAGGGGCGGAGCTGTCAACTGATCACTACCTGGTGGTGAATTGGCTCCGATGGTGGGGGAGGATGCCGGTCAGACCTGGCAGACCCAAACGTATTGTGAGGGTTTGCTGGGAACGTCTGGCAGAGTCTCCTGTGAGAAAGGAGAACTTCGAACATGTTCCGAGGGAGGTGGGGGACATTGAGTTCATGTGGACCATGTTTCGTGCCTCTATTGTCGAGGCGGCTTACCGGAACTGCGGCCGCAAGGTTGTCGGTGCCTGTCGCGGTGGCAACCCTGGAAACCGATGGTGGACACCGTCGGTGAGGGATGCTGTCAGGATGAAGAAGGAGTCCTATCGGGCCTTTTTGGCCTGTGGGACCCCGGAAGCAGCTGATGGGTACCGGCAGTCCAAGCGACATGCGGCTCGGGTGGTCACTGAGGCAAAAACTCAGGCATGGGAGGAGTTCGGAGAGGCCATGGAGAATGACTTCCGCACGGCTTTGAGGCGATTCTGGTCCACCATCCAGCGTCTCAGGGGGCGAAAGTGGTACGCCACAAACACTGTTTATAGTAGGGGTGGTGTGCTACTGACCTCAACTCGGGATGTTGTGGGTCGGTGGGCGGAATACTTTGAAGACCTACTCAATCCCACCGGCACGTCTTCCACTGAGGAAGCGGAGCCTGGGGACTCTAGGTCGGGCCCTCAAATCTCTGGTGCTGAGGTCACCGAGGTGGTTAAAAAGCTCTTCGGTGGCAGGGCCCCATGGGTGGATGAGATTCGCCCGGAGTTCCTTAAGGCTCTGGATGTTGTAGGGTTGTGTTGGCTTATGCAAATCTGCAATATTGCGTGGACATCAGGGGAAGTTCCCCTGGATTGGCAGACTGGGGTGGTGGTCCCCCTATTCAAAAAGGGGGACCGTAGAGTGTGTTCCAACTACAGGGGAATCACGCTCGTAAGCCTCCCTGGTAAGGTCTACTCGGGGGTTCTGGAGAGGAGGTTCCGTCGGATAGTCGAACCTCTGATTCAGGAGGAGCAGTGCGGTTTTCGTCCTGGCCGTGGAACACTGGACCAGCTCTACACTCTCAGCAGGGTCCTGGAGGGTGCATGGGAGTTTGCCCAACCGGTCTACATGTGCTTTGTGGACTTGGAGAAGGCGTTCGACCGTGTCCCTCGGGGAACCCTGTGGGGGGTACTCTGGGAGTATGGGGTACCGGGCCCTTTGATACGGGTTGTTAGGTCCCTGTATGACCGGTGTCAGAGCCTGGTCCGCATCGCCGGCAGTAAGTCGGGCTTGTTCCCGGTGAGAGTTGGACTCCGCCAAGGTTGCCCTTTGTCACCGATTCTGTTCATAACTTTTATGGACAGAATTTCTAGGCGCAGCCAAGGTGTTTAGGGGATCTGTTTTGGTGGCCTTAGGATTGCGTCTCTGCTTTTTGCAGATGATGTGGTCTTATTGGCTTCATCAGATCGTGATCTTCAGCTTTCGCTAGAGCGGTTCGCAGCCGAATGCGACGCAGCCGGGATGAGGATCAGTTCCTCCAAATCCGAGGCCATGGTCTTGAGCCGGAAAAGGGTAGAGTGCCCTCTCCGGGTCAGGGAGGAGGTCCTGCCCCAAGTGGAGGAGTTCAAGTATCTTGGGGTCTTGTTCACGAATGAGGGAAAAATGGAGCGTGAGATCGATAGGCGGATAGGTGCAGCGTCAGCAGTGAAGCAGGCGCTGTACAGGTCTGTCGTGATGAAGAGAGAGTTGAGTCAAAAGGCGAAGCTCTCAATTTACCGATCGATCTACATTCTTACCCTCATCTATGGTCACGAGCTTTGGGTTGTGACTGAAAGAATGAGATCTCAGATACAAGCGGCCGAAATGAGTTTTCTCCGCAGGGTGTCTGGGCTCTCCCTTAGATATAGGGTGAGAAGCTCGATCATCCGGGAGGGACTCAGAGTAGAGCCGCTGCTTCTCCACGTCGAGAGGAGCCAGTTGAGGTGGCTTGGGCATCTGTTTAGGATGCCTTCTGGACGCTTCCCTGGTGAGGTGTTCCAGACACGTCCCACCGGAAGGAGGCCCAGAGGAAGACCCAGGACACGCTGGAGGGACTATGTTTCTCGGCTGGCCTGGGAACGCCTCGGGATTCCCCCGGAAGAGCTGGCCCAAGTGGCTGGGGAGAGGGAAGTCTGGGCCTCCCTACTTAGGCTGCTACCTCCGCGACCCGACCCCGGATAAGCGGAAGAAAATGGATGGATGGATGGATGAGTATCTAAGAATGCAATTAGAAGGGAAGATGATAACATCTCAAACCACTTAATATATATGAAACAAAGTCTTAGCCGTTGGTTGACAAGAGATCTGACTGATTTTGGAAGGAATCTGTTGACTAAAGCAGATGGCATTTCCAAGGCTGTTTATCCATGTCATTCTATGTATATATCACCACAAAACATAAGAAAAGCCAATTCCATTATCTTTCACTTTTTGTGAAAAATAAGACTCATTATGTTAAAAGGTCCCAACTAGTTAAAAAACATGAGAATGGTGGTATTAATGCACTACACTTTGAAGCAATGGTTGGTACATTTAGGACTAAATGGTTAACAACAAAATTCAATGTGGTTTCATATCCCTGCCTCCATTTTTAAGCAGCTGGGAGGAATTGACTTCCTTGCAAAGTGTGACTTTGAAGTGACGAAGATTCCAGTTAAATTATCAAACTTCCACAAACAAATTCTTCAGTTCTGGAAAATGATATTTCACCATAATTTCTCACCTCATGGATCAACTTTGTGGAATAATAGAGCAATCACAGTGGGCAGAAAGTCAATATTTAGAAAAGACTGGTATGAAAAAGGCATCATTTTTGTAACATATCTTGGATTGTAATAGAGATCTTTTAAATTTCTCATCTTTTGTTAGAAAACATAACCTTAGCTGCTGCCATAAAGATTTTATGAAAGTATGTAAAACAATCCCTTTAGCCTTGATTCAGTTAATTAAAAATATAATTATATATTCAAAGGTGACCGTTTCGATGCCCACATTAAAACTAAATGACTGTAGTTTAGTTGACCTAAAATCAAAAAAGATCAACAAGCTCATAAAGAAGGCTGGCTCAGTTCTGGGGACTCCTCTAGAACCTTTGGAGATGATTGTACAAAGAAGGATTCTTCATAAAATGAAGAACATTATAGACAACCCTCAGCATCCTCTTCATCAGACTGTCATACAACAACAAAGTGTCTTCAGTCAGAGGCTTCTTCAAATCCGTTGTAGGACAGACCGCTACAAGAGATCCTTCCTGCCCACAGCCATCAGCATCTATAACAACTCATTAATGAAACCAGGATGATGAGTTACCCAACATATAATTTCCCTCTGGGATTAATAAAGTATTTTTGAATTTGAATTTGAATTGAAAATGTAATAACAAGATTATCAATGAATGCATGCGACAAAGGATTTACTATGATTATAACAAAGATTAATTCAAGAACCCTTCCAATATAAATCATAAAACCATAAGGACTTCTGCTCATTCGAAATTTGTCAAACGGCCTATATCTCCTAAAGTGAAAGAAAACCATTTTAAAATAATAAGAAAATAACTTCAAAAGAAATTGTTGAGGTCCTCTTCAGTCCTTCAGTTTCAGAGCTGGCGATGAAGGTCCAGGACTGACCATCTGAAGTTCCTGCTGGACTCAAAGCACCTTTCTGACTCTGCTCCACTGAGGGGTTGATCGTATTTAGGACAACTCTTCACTGGGTTTCTGTGATCTGATCCTGGATCAGTTCTTTATTTCTATCTGAATAATAATGAGGTGTTCTATAAAATCATAAAGCACCAATATCTGTCCAGAGGTGCGTGGTCATTTGATCTTAAAGTGTCTTTAGTGATCTGGACCTCTCCATCTCCACCCACTGGGCAATGATCTCTGCTTCCTTCTTCCTGACACTAATGACTGATTCTGGGTCAGCCTCATTGGATCCTCTGCACAAACCCCCCACAAAGAAGACAAACAGAGTCCTGTTAGACTTTATCTGGTGCGTTTAAAAACAGACGAGGCTTGTCTTACCTCAGGTCCAGATGATGGGCCCCTCCAGAAATGTTGAGCGCGATCAGAGAGGAGCTGAAGGACCTACGGACCTGAACATTAAAAGCAGGAAGTTTTGTTTGTTCATGAAGCCTCCGTGTGCAGTTAGAAACACACCGTTTGAAGAGAGAGGAGGGAAAACATAGGCATAACACACCAACTGGTGATTACAGAGCGCACGCTTGGACTGGGTGTGTGGTTTGAATGCTCACCCCTCCATTGGCCCATGGGTCCAGGTCTCCGTTGGAGAAAATGATGTTGCTGGCTGCAGAAAGAGCTGGACATGAGAGAGAGATTCAGCAAGCGTTCATTCCCAAAGAGCCTCACTGAACACGATTAGAAGGTTTCTGTAGCAGAGAACATTTTGAGTCCGTTCTGGTTGCTAAAATAGTTCTGAGGTTCTGTCTGAAGACATCTGTGCATGTGGTTGACCTCACCTTCACCCCAGAACTGGACCCTGAGCCAACCTGGCCGTGGACTCACAGCCCAGCGCTTGGAGCAGTAAGCCTCCCGGTGTGCCTCGGTGAAGGGCATGGGGGGGAACATGTCCGTCACGTTGTTGCTCTCGTAGCACAGCTCGATCTCTGTACAGGCCTGCAGACACACAGATCCAGGAGCATCAGCACTTCTACTGAAGGACTACCAGTTCTTGGCAGAATACATGTTGCCCGCCACCTTTCACGCCTAGCTGTTAGACCAAGATAATTTTGTGCTGACAAGGACCGGACATGAAGCAGCTTTAGATGTGCGCTGTGATGAGGCGAGGTTTTAGCTTTTAGCTCAATATATAGGAACTAAGCTGAGCTACAGCTGTTTCTGAGTAGGCGAAGACGAGATGTGGTGTAGGCCCTCACACACAACACGTTTCTCACCTCACTGTCTAAAACCATTTATCTGTTTTTTTCAAATGTGTTCAGGTTCTGAGGGGCGGGGCCTATCCCTGCAGAAAACAGGTCAAAGGTTAGGGACGCTCCAGCCCCGGACCTCCTGTGCTCACATACCTGGTGTCAAACGACGCCACGTCACAATCAAATCGTCTTCCATCATGTTTTTAATTGTCTGAGGGCTGGACCTGGACCCTGTCCATGTGCTGGTTTTAGTTAGTCTCAGTGAGGTACCTGGTAGTCCCAGGCCTGACTGTTGAAGCCCAGTCCACATCCGGTGGGATCGGCACACTCCACATACAGGCCGTACAGGTCCAAGCAGGTTAGTACCCCCGTAGAGTTGTAGACAATCCCTGCAGGTAGAACACATGCTGATCAAAATGGACAGGATTGGGTTCTGGTTTTGGACTTGATGTTGTTCTGCTCCAAGTCATTTTCTGTGGGACCTCCAAGAAGACCGCTTTAACTCATTCAGGCTACTGAACCATGTCACATGATCACTTTTAAATATCCTGTTACTGACTTTACTGAAGTAAAAACGCTCTCTGTAATTCAGTTCTGAATATTTCAATCAGTAGCTCCAAACTATTTAAGATAGAGAGTCATGAGCCATGTTTGATGTACAGATCACACAGGGCTGGGTCAACCACAAACATCACTTATTAACTGTAACCCACCAGAACCAACTCAAGTTCAAATATCTGTTTCTGAGGACATTAACACGTTTTGGTACTTTTTACAAATGTAACCTTTAAACAGGTTTGAGCCCAACCCAAGGGTCTTCAGGACATGGAGCTACTGTCTGCCCTCTAGTGTCAGATGGTGTGAATTCACCTGAGCTGCTCTGGTCTAACTCTGGAGCCTGGTTTCAGTCTTTCATATCAGAGAACACACAGATCTAAAGTGGATTTGAGTGAGAGTACCTGCAGTGTCCCTGAGGTTAGCCAGCAGGTCCGGACCCCTCAGCATGGTCCCACAGGCCACCTGGACAACAAGTCACATCAAGTACTTCAACGATTTTACCAGCAGACATGAATTAGACCTCAGCATTGAACTGATCTACGGTTGTACAAACTACAGGTACAGCTGAGGAACTCAGCAGGGGTGGGCTGAGGACTGGACCTGGACCTGGTCTCTGTCCAACCAACATATTTAAAGCAACAAGAATTCCATCCATCATCTTTACCCACTTCTTCCATTTTGGGTCAGGGGGGTCGCCGGTGCCCATGTCCAGCTATCACTGTGAGAGGGGTGGGGTACACCCTGGACAGGTCTCCAGTCCATCACAGGGCCACATAAAGACAAACAAGACAAACAACAATTCAGTCTCTCACTCACACCTAGAGACAATTTAGAATTACCAATCAGACTAACATGCATGTTTTTGGTCTGTGGGAGGAAACTGGAGTACCTGGAGAAAACCCACACAGCACGGAGAGAACATGCAAACTCCACCCAGAAAGATCCCCAGACCGGGATTTGAACCAGGATAACCTGCTTGCTGAGAGGTAGCAGCTCTACTAGTTGCGCCACCGTGCTGCCCACAACAAGAATTGAAAAGTGAATTTTCTTTAAGACAGATCATCTAGGAGACTTTTCCAGGCTTCTTCCTGTTGTAGCATAGTCGGCAGGCTGGATCAAAACATCTCTCCTCAGTTCTCGTTAGGATGTATTCTCTGAAGACTGCCTCTATGACAATAGATTGTTAACATATATGTTATATATATATATATATATA